GAAAATAAGCCTTATATTCTGATTTAGGAGTATTAGCAATAATGTTTAAAATAATACGATGATTTACATAAAAATTAAATTGTTAAAATAATGTATTAATATAATATTTTTTAGCTAAATTGAATTGAAACTTAAGTTAATAAAAATAAAATGAATAATCATTACTTCAAAAATCACTTTTAAGCACTGTAAAATGAGTAGTGTAAAATATATTGAAAAAAATAATATTGATCTTCCTAAAATAAGACAACAAGACAAAATTAGGTAATATATTTTGTGTATTTGTGCTCCATCAGTTGTACGCACACTAAAGTTCTGAGGATGTCCCGGTTCTCTGCTCATTTTGAGTCAGACTTATATTCAGTTAACTAGAGACTCGCTCGGAACGGATCATTGAATCAGTGAGTTGTTCACTCGAGAATAGTCCAATTCGCAAAAGAATCATTCAGTGTGATTTGCAAACCGATTTAGCAGATTCATTGAAAAGAATCAGCTCATTCACGAATCACGTCTCAGAGCAAATGGCAATTTCTTCAGTAAAATAAATAAATTAAAAAAAATAGTAATGATATGTTTTTATCAAATGTAGTGGAGTAAAACGGTACCTGTAGGCTCTTTTAATGTCCTCTGCCGTGGCCCCTTTCTCCAGTCCCAGGACCTTGTATAAACTGTCCCCTGTAGTGGACATCTTCCTCTGAGGCCTGTCAGAGGGCGGCTTGACATCTGCCATGATTCAAAGCTAAACAACAGCAAAAAAAAAAAAAAAACAGACAAAATTATGCATTAAAAAAATTAATATCACCCAAAGGGAGCTGCTCTTCAAATTCTTCTGCAGCAGCCCATTATTGACACATGGAACAATGTACACAGCCAAAGCAAGCAGAAAGCACTCGGCTCTATTTTAATAGCACACAGTGCAAGTACAAGGTGTGGCGAAGGTGAACTCTGTTAATGTTGAAATAACAGGTGCAGGTTTTGGGTGTTATGAGTAATCCATCAGGAAATGACTTTAACACTACTAAGAAACCATTAGGCAATAAGATGTGTGCACTCATAATCATAGGATATGTACCAGCATGCAATGGTGGGCAGAACAACGGCTTCCCGATTCTCATAACGCCTTTGCTAAAGAAGATTATGTTCTGCTGATCTCACAAACCCCATGTTGACAAAGGCTAATAGACACTTGTATCCACATGACACCTTTCCTGATCATGAAAGCTGTTTTAAGTGGTTTAAACACTGAACATGGATCTTTCTGAGAAATACCAGCAACTAAACCACATCACCACCATTGTGAAACTAAAGCTTCTCAAGTTTAAACTATAAATGTTTAAATGTGTGTTAACTATAAATGTTTAAATGTGTGTTTTTGCCAATATCACAAAAGAATTGTATTTCAGACGTATCCGATAAGTGCTTGAACATAATGTCCAATCAGAGGTGTTTACAATTCCACTCAACAGCTCTCAAAGCGTCACAAAAACTATTTTTAACTTTTTATTCATCAAATAATCCTGAAATTTGCCAAAATATTATTAAATTTTAAATAATTCTTCCATTTTTTTATATATTTGGCAAATAAAAGTTGTAATATTATTTACAGAATATTGCTGTTTTTACTGTACATTTGATCAAATAAATGCAGTCATTGCAGTGATCATAAGAGACTTAAAACACGTTTAAAAACTTACTGACCAAAACTTAAATTATTTTGTGTATTTATTATTGCAAATGCAAAATAAACAATAGACACTTGAATACTTCATCCACAATTCTCCATGATTGAGGGCGGTTGCTGCTCACGTCTTTACAACAGTATGTTTCCATGGTAACAGTTATTTCGCTGATTGGAATTATGGGTAGTAGTACTGTTCTTCAACAAAAATCTGGCAATTAAACTCTGAAGTGATTTGTACCTTTTACAGAAGCTTGAAAGTTTACGTTCTTAAATTGTTTTGGGAGAGAAATGAATAGAATTTTACATCCAAAACTCTACTGCTGCACTCTACCCCTGTCTTTCCAAGTTGCAAACCCACACTGACTTTTAAGCTTGAAATAATTTCTATTCATTCATTCAAGAAAAGTTTAGAGGCAGTTAAGAGATGATCACACAACCAGAGATATGATAACAGCCTGGGAAAACAATCATAAGCTTCACATCTTCAATGAAGGTTGGGATTGCATACACTAGAAAGCTAACCGATCACCCCATTCACACGTATCAGACTGCAGCTGTGCGAGCTTCAGATGAGCCTCTGTTCATCAAGCTGTAAGCTTATCTCAGGCTTAACTCTACAGTCGGTGTATTTTGGATGAATCTAGAGGCTGTGCCAATGTCTGATGAGAACACACACTAAATCATTAATCACACAGGTCACTTTCTTCCAGATGATGACAACTGGCTCAATGCTATAAAATGAACCAGTCCGGCATGATGAAGCTGACACAACTTTATATGCCATTTCAATTCAAAACTAATGCAACATACACCAATGCTTCCAGGCCAGTTCAAAATCGTTAGAAACATGATCAACAATCCCTTTAAAAGTCAAGACGGCTAATAATAATAATAATAATAATAAATACCAACCTATATTCAGCAAAAATGCATCGAATTGATCAAAATTACCAACAAAGAGTCCTGAAAAAAGTATAACATGTTCCACAAAAATATTCAGCAGCACAATTTAACATTGATTGATATTAATAAGAAAAAATGCAGGAGCAGGAAATCAGCATATTAAAGTGATTTCTGAAAGATGATGAAAATTCAGCTGTTATCATAGGAATAAATTATTTTTACCATAAATCAAAATAGTATTATTTATATTGTAATTAACAGTTATTTTTAAATTCAAATATTTAACAATATTGCTGTATTTTGATCAAATAAATGCAGCTTTGGTGGCCCAGAAGCAGAAAAGCTATCTAAAAGCACTGTACTTTGCTGTTTTCTTTGCTGTTTTTTAGACTTTATGACCAATACATTAATCATAACAGAGGACTTAATGTCTTTGAAAGGACCAGTGGGTGATGTAGTCAATCTCAATTCACATAATAAAAATGTATTAAGTTAATTTTGCACACTTTTGGGTATGAGATCAATGTTCAATCTAAATGGTCAAACTCAAACCCACTGTTTAGAAATAAATCATTACCTCCATCTCTCAAAGACCAGGTAAACATGTGGCTTGTACAGCCAACCCGTATTGGGTAGATTGAACAATAGATAACGACATATATGTCATCTGTATAAAATGGAGCAGAAAAAACTATTAATTAAAAACACATGTGATATAATAATGTGCTAAACTTCACAATAGGTCTGAACAAAAACACGTGGTGTTACCTCTCCAGTGACAGCATTTAAACACATCTGGGATGAGTCTTGTGACGTCACGGGTTCATTGATAAGGTTTATTTTTGTCCTGTCGTTGGATATGCATCCGAGTTATTATGATAGTAATCATATTTATTTACATTACTTACTGGCTTTTGTAACGGGCAAGTGTCCTTGTAAAACTATAATCCAGTCTTAATCCAGACCAGTACAGATTACTATCCCCTTCAGACCCTGCCTTTTCCTTCACTCTTCACTTTAACCATGACCCGTTTGGGTTGACCTGGGCAACGGCTAACTTACTAGAAACAATAAGATCAGTTAACACAGGTAACGTTACACATGGAGTTCATTCATCTTTATTCAGGATTATTGGATCTGGGAAAGCACGATATTCGACCGTCTATTTCATACCTAATGTCAACAATACCACTTTGAATATAAGTCTTCTAGGAGATGTACATTCATAACACAACTAGTATGAAATTCATACACAATGCTGACTGGTTTATAGGGCCATTGTGAATTTGCAATTACTTTTATCGATGAAGCAAACGGCTGACTAGGCAGTTAGCATTAGCAGGTTTAGCAACGATAGCAAATGTGTGTGGATTTTAAGATGCACATTTCAGCACAGTCGATTGAAACTCACCTTGAACAGGGTGGTAATATGTTAGTCAATTGTGGCTGAATCATAGAGGACTCAGCCGAATGGTTCTTTAGATATCCTATGTACAGCTCATCATTGCTATCGCCGCATGCATGTCCTCCCTGCCTTGAAAGCGTAGAGCGCTCTGAGGAGGACGCGCTTGATACTGGTGTCGACTCTTTGAACCGAGTCTCCAGCATGTTTGGATCCCTTGAAATGGGAATCGCGCACGAGGGCACGATCTGTGATTCGATTCTTTAGTGGAGTCGACTCTCGTTCTATGGATTAAAACCGTAGAATGCCGTTGGACGTAATCGATGCTTTGACTTTGATAGTATCAGGTGAAGCGGATTAATATAGCTTTTTTATCAGTCAAAGCAAAAATACTTCTCAGGTTAAACCAGAACCCGTCTAACGGTTAAACACACCACACATAAGGCAAAGTTGAATTTAAGACTCAAAATCATGTGACAAAACAAGGGTTTATGTAGTTTATTTTAGTCTTCAAAATAAAAGTCCGAAGAAGCGTTGTTTAGCTACGATGTAAATTTGTTGGTCGCGAGTTCCCATTATTTTAATAAGTTTCGTTTAGCGGGGGTTGGTTTATTTACACACATTTTAAATAACAATAATCAAATCATGATTGTGTAGTCCATTTAAAAACCAGTAATGAAAGCACCATGTAAATGTTCGATTTTTTGGGGTGAGATTGTCTATTTCAATGTACATTTTATTTAAGATGTAAATTTATAGAAATTCAACAGATGTCATTTTTGATGCATACTTGGAATTTTATCTTGATTTTGACAATTTTGATTATAAATGCTTTGGTGAAGTTGTCAGTGTAGAAAAAACCCAATACAAGTTCAGTCTAGCAAATGTTCAGGTGCTTTATGGTGATATTGTCTCCTTTTATTTGTACTTTATTTTATATATTGTGTGCTTATAGGGAAGGGCAGGCTGAATGTATGGTGTTGCAGTGGAATGACAATAAAGAACAAAGAAAGATCCGATATTGCAATCTTTTTTTTATTTTCTAAAAATACAAATTACAAAAGTTTTGCACCTTAATGAAAAATAATCTTCCTACAATACTGTATATTTAACTATTTGCACCAAGTGGATTGAATAACAAATGTCTGTTCATCAAATGGAATGTTAAAATGAGCATGATGTCTGTACTGTTGTAAATGCACAACAAAAAGTACAGAATGAACAATGTTGACAGTAAGATGTAGTAGTTAAATTGTTTCTATGTTTGCAAGATTTTTCTAATACTGAAATGAAACTGATCAGCCTGCTGTTCTAGAGTGCTACATTAATGCAATGATCTCAGATATTCAGGATGGAACTAGCTTAACCACACACACTCCACTGTGGTTGCACTAATTTATTTCAAATAGTCAGTATAAGAAAATTCAATTTTAGTGTCAATACTGAAAGGAACAACACATCTGGGTACTTCTCCTAAAAAATTATACCTAATGGAGGGTACAGGGGGTACACAGAATAAACAATAGCCATAGAATCCGTACGTTGCCAACAAAATGTTTCCCTTCATCCAAATGTCCAAGCCTAAACCATGATGGTCCTTTCATCGACCCAGCACAGTAGCCAGAAGTGCCATCCGAATATACATCCCGTTCTCCACCTGCCGAAAATAAGCAGCTCGAGGATCCGTGTCCACCTCCGCACTGAAAACAAAATATGGGATTACAAGAGACTACAAACAAAACTTTGTATTCTTGCTTTGACACTCCTCCTGAAAATTAGATTTTAACCAGATGCTTTGAACTGAGAATAGCAAACCTGATCTCATTGACTCTGGGAAGAGGATGCATGACCACCATCTTCCTTTTGGCTCCCGTCATGATATGTGGGGTTAGAATGAACTGCCCGAAACACTGTCAGAAAAAGTAAATCTTTTTATAAAAACTTCATGATGTTTTTGAAATAAACGATGCAACATTCTCCTCAGAAAATTCTCCCACCACTTTGTACTCTTCTTCAGAGGCGAATCGCTCTTTCTGTATTCTCGTCATGTACAGGACGTCAGTCTCTGGCAGAGCCTCTTCAATGCTGTTAAACTCCTCCTGTGACAGACACATTTAAGGGAAATGCGGCCATGCAAATATTAAGCCCCCAAGTAACGGTCCACTCCTGAATTCATATTTTTGATTGGGACGCACCTGTTTAATGCCTTTAGAGGCCACAAAGTCAATGATCTCGGCGGGCATGGTGAGGTTTTTGGGGGCCACGTAGCGCAAATTGATCCTGTATTGAGTGAGAAGTCTAGCCAGAGAATGCACAGTGCGGCCATGTTTCAGATCACCAACCATGGTAATCTGAGATTTAAGAAAAAAAAAAGAAAGTCATTATAAAAACTGAGCATCTTGTCCAGAACACAGCAACATTGGCTAAACTTTGAGAAGGGATTATCAGTTTGATGATGCTAGTGCAACAGAAATGACACACTTCATCTCCAAGTGGAAATTGCAAGCTAATAAGTTAAAGACAGAATATTTTTCCCATGTTAACTCACAGTCATGCCATTGACTGTTCCCAGCTCCTCTCGGATCGTAAAGATATCCAGAAGGGCTTGAGTGGGATGTTCTCCGACTCCATCACCAGCGTTGATCACTGGCCGCCGACAATGCCTTGATGCACTCTACGAACCAGAAGCACAAATTAATTCATTTTTTAACAAATACACAAATATTTTAATTTTCATGATATAATTTAATAATAATACTTTTAGAAAAACATGCACTGAGGAATTCTGCACAAACAACCAAGAAAATATTTATAAAGAAAATTGTCTATTTAGATGTCATGTCTTAAAACTTTCAAAAGTTTATCAAAATTTTTTTTTTTTTACAAATCTATACTTCTACTCATAGAAGAGGCGTTAAATTCCTCAAAAGTAATTTCCATTGCAATTTCCATGCTGGTTTTTTTGAAGCAAAGAATCCTGGAAAAAAAATCTTAAGCAGCATTAATTGTTTCCAAAATAGAGTATACGAAATGACTTCTCAAATCAAAGTTACTTAAAATTTTATTAATGTTTCACAATATTACCGTTTTAAAAATATCGGATAAATGTCTCTTACGTTCACCAAACGCCTTGGTGAGCATAAGAGACTTTCAAAAACATTGAAACTTTTCAACGGTATATAATTATTGTATAAATTAGTGTAAAAATGAACGAATCTTTTTCCGAGTCAATTCGTTCGTTTAATGAACCAAATGACACGAAAAAAGATTCATTCATTTTGATGAACAAGTTCAAACAGGAGAGTCACGAACGCACATCACTGAACAGAGCAAGGCGAGCATTCGAGCTTGTAAAACTTAACTTTTTTTTTTTTTTTAAATAAGCGATCGTTTCGCTTGATAAGACCCTTATTCATCGTCTGGAATCGTTTAAAGCCCTTTGAACAGTTTGCAGCTTGCACTGAAAGTGTCTTTTGCACCTTGAACCGTTTGGTTCCCACTGTAGTGCATTAAATGGAGAAAAATGCTGGATTGTTCATCAAAAACCTTAATTTCTTTTCGACTGAAGAAAGAATGACATGGACATCTTGGATGACATGGAGGTGAGTAAATTATCAGCAAAAGGTTTTTTAAAAGTGAACTACTCCTTTAAATCATTAATGTGTGGCTCACTTCTACAGCTCCAGGTATGGGGTGGCGCAGAACAATGACATCAGCATAGCAGCTCATGGAGTGAACGGAGTCGGCCAGAGACTCGCCCTTCTGTGTGGAGGATGTGGACTCGCTGAAATGCACCACTGAACCTCCCAGACGCTGCATGGCTGCTGCGAACGAACTACTGGTGCGAGTGCTCACCTCGTAGAACATGGAGGCCATCACTTTACCCTGGGAGAAGAGGAGAAGAACAGAATTAAATGAAGAGTTTACAAGAACTTATTTCATCTATGTTAATTTCATCTCCTTCTGCAAAAGGTTGTGTTTCCAAAGGCCACAGATGCCCATTTCTAAAGGAAGAGCTCTACTTCAAACTGCGACACGTCACTGCCAGATTGAACACAATCCTGACTCCAGACTTCTGCTGACTTGAGCAGTTAAATACTCCTGCTGGGGGAGGTTTATGTAATGTTCAAGATGGGCTGTAATAAACTACAAATCCTCCAGTGACATCTACTCTGCTATTGGACCGAATTACACTATCAAAAATTAAAAGATAAAGATAAATGTGGTCTACAGGACCGGTTGAATCAAGGTCCAATCTGCTCATTCTACTTTGTTCCTTAATGATTCTATTAACAATCATTTTAGTATGAGACCCACCACCCACCTTGAAGCAAATAACTGATCCTACTTCAAACACACACACAAAAAAAGTAGGTTGATAAGATTTAACGTTTTTGAAATGTTCTCTTTTTAATGCTCACAAAGACTGCATTTATTTGATCAGAATTCCATTAAAAACAGTAATGTTTTCTATTTTAATCCATTCATGTGATGGCAAAACTAATTGACATTGAAATTTAGCATCTATTACTCCAGTCTTTAGTCACATGATCCTTCAGAAATCATTCTAATATGCTGATTTCAAAATACCATCTATCTGAAATAGAAATCTTTTGTAACATCACGCATACATTTTAAAAACATACAAATAGTCCCAACACTTTTTAAATAGCCTACTTAAAGTGTTTATTACAAATAAATTACTAAATGCTTAAAATAAATATAAACAAACAAACAATTTTTGTTACATTTACAACCCTGTGAACACACTTCTCCTGAACAAGCGAACAAAAATTAACAAATCATGAGCTGATTTGAATCTTTGACATTCATAGAAAAGAACCTGATTCAGACTCACAAATTTACGACATTATTTTTGTTTTAACATACATCACTTGATATTTTAAAATAAAAAGAAGTGGCAATTTTTTTTTTATTAATAGTCACGTGTACCTTCAAAATATCCAAGGGTCGCTCTTTCTGCACCATGAGACGCAGAGTATGTGCCACATTGAACAAGTGGGACATCTGAAAGCCCAAGACAGATAGGAAAGATTGATGAGGCACTGTAAATACAATTGTTACATGCACAAAAGCAATATTTCAGAACTCAACAACATGATGTCACCTGTTCCTTGCTGAACTGGCGCACGGACAGGATGTGCTGGCCCACCAACGGGTGCAGCAGCGGGGAGGTCTGGGGGTGGGGCAGGATCTGCTGCTGCCCAGCTTGAGGTGACAGGATCCTGGCCAGGGGAGGAGGGTGTGCGTATGGCTCTGCTGAAGGAGCCAATTCTGGTAATGGAAGACAAAGAACGTCACAATCAGCATACAATATTTCACTGCCGTGTGTAGCAGTCAATCTCACTTTACACCAATAAACAAGACACTGCAGAAGAGCTCATTGAGATCAACCTGAATCACAAGGAACCGCATGCAACAGATAAACGGACCATCACATCTTGTTTTGATTAAGCTTTTGTAAAAGCTAAAATATGCCAAATAGAACAAATAAAGATTGGGAGAGAAAACAGAAGGTAAGGGTGACAAAGCTCTAAACATCACTTTCATTTAATCATCACGCTATAAATGACACCACCTCTTCAGCTCTTCATTAAGGCACAAAGTATGAAGAAATCGATTAGTAACTGTACAATAATAACTACATTTTTCATATAAAATTGCCAATATACTAGGTAAAATGTTTATTTTTAGTTTTCCCAAAAAAAGTTTTTTTTTAAAGCTGGAAAACTGAAATTGCTTTTTAGATAACTTGTTAATATTATTAGTTAATTTGAAACCCGGCCTTTGTCGTTGTTATTATTATAAATACATGCATGCAAACAAAGTGCATAGTGATGCTAATTTTATTTGTTTTTCGATATAAGACTTCAACATCAGTAAGTTTTGAACCTTTCCAGCACATTAACAAAACCATGGTCATGTTGGTCACTAAAATTTCATTTCTAACACATTTTTAAATATCTGCCTTATCCCAGTACAATATGCAATGTGTTAAATGTAAAAATCACCAAATTAATAACTTTAAAAAAAATCTGGCTTTTACTGTATTTTGCATGCATCGAATTACCTTGAATTAATGAAAATAAGGAAGATGGAAAAAACAGATGAATGAATTCAGACAGTTGCAGAATCATGAGACATATTGATTAGATGAAGCTATACACATCACATGGACGTTACCCAATGCCCTTTGGCGATGTATGGTAGATCTTTTAAAACCTGCATATCAAAAACATGACTTGCTTGAAATGTTGTTTTAGATTAGCTTATGGTTCAGCTGAACAAGCTCCCACAAACTCACGCACAATCTCAGAGTGAATACACAGCAGACCCATAGTACCTGGTGGCAGACCAGGATCAGATGCGTGGTGGATCCGAGGAGGGAGAATGAAGCGTCCATCCCCAGCTAAGCGGCGTGGGCTCGGGGCACGGCTACGGACCACATCAACAGGTGCTGCCTGACGGGGGCGCTCAGGAGTTATTGCCTCAATCACACGCTGTAATGATGAACAAGCATGGTTATTTGTTAGCCAGTACACAATAAAAATCAAGAGCTGAACAGTGAACAATGCATGTTCAGGGTGTTTTTCAGGGAACATTTTATTGAACGTTACCTTGGGAGCATCCTTTGTCACATCGGTTGTTCCAGGCGGGGCTGTTGACCATGACTTCACATCCTGACCATAACCTGGAGGTACAAACACCTTAAGAGAAAGAGGAAGGAATGATTAAACCTAGAAATTGATTAGCATGTGCTTTTGAATTGTAATAATATTTCACAATATGAATCAAATAAACATACGTAGTCTCGAAAAACATAAGAGATTTAATTCAACTACAAAATTAGGTTTAAACACATCTATATCTTACTGACCTCAAACATACAACCATTATCTCTTTACCTGTCCATCAATATAGGCCAATTCTCCTCTGAGCACCACCCTCATGACCTTTCCCTTCACTTTCATGCCCTCAAATGGTGTCCACTTTGACTTGGTGAATTGCATGTGCTTCGGAATAGTCCACTCTTGCTCCAAGTCCACCTGGACAATTCAAGCATCACTTTGAATATCAAAAACATTGAGTTTTCAGGCAGCAATTTACTATCTGAGCTTTGTAACTCTGAAATACCTCTACGTAAGTGTCTTCTTGAGCAGGAAGAGAGAATATTCTCCTGGGGTTTTCGTAGAGCCTCTTGATGATGTCATCAATGGTAAGGCGACCCTCACTGACAGCCGTGAGCAGCAGAGGAAGCATGGTCTCCAGACCCGGGTAACCTGGAGGTGGTTTCTCAGAGTTCTTCTCCTCTACTGAATGAGGGGCTGCAAAAATATATACATAGTTAATATAAGCTTCCAAGAACAATTTATGACGTGGCCATCGTAAATGGATGTACACGACCATTCAAGTTAGGGAGCAGAAAAAATAAATAAATAAAAAAAGTTAACAGCAACGTTGTATTAAATTGATCAAAAAGACTTTTAAATAGTTAAAAAATATTTATATTTTGAATAAATTCTGTTCTTTTGAACTTTCCTTTCCTCAAAAAATCCTGAAAAAAAATGTATCACTGTTTTCACAAAAACATTAAGCAGCACAACTGTTTTCAAAATTCATAAGAAAAGTCATTGTAAATATTACTCACGAAGTTACTGTTTTTTTGTTATGTTTTTTAAATAAATGTAAAATTGGGGAGCATAACAATAACTTTTTTCATAAAAAAAAAAAAAAAAAAATCTTACAAACCCAAAACTTTTAAATGGTATTATACAAGTATGCCTGACAACAAAAGGGTTTAATTAGCCCATATGTAGAAAATAATTAGGTATTTTACGCTTTAAAAATACTAATGTACTCAGTTTAACATTTTTAAGTCTAGTTAGTTTCAATGTCAGGATAGTTTGAAAAGGGATCTGAAGGTGTAGTTTGAACTCAAAAATAAAGCCTATTATAACAGATTATTGTCTAGGACTGTGCCAGCTTGTAGGACTGGGGATAGCTTGAAAGTCAGTGCGTTTTGTTTTTTTTTGATCAACCACAGGAAGGTCCGTCTGTCTAATCAATTATAAAAGATATAGAACACTAGGGAAAGAACAGGGTCTAGATGTAGCTTTAATGTTCAAGCTGATTTTTAAAACAATTTTGGTCTCAGGTTAGTGTATTTGAAACTGATATTTGCCTTTAGATGTGAGGCACAGCAGTGAAATCTGATCCTATTATTACCGTGGTCTGTTGCGAAACAGTCAATGATGTCTATATTTTCCCACAACGCCTCCATGTCTTCACGTGTACCCAACATGGGCCGCACCTGTGCTCTTCCGTTCCCAATGGCTGGCACATTATCTTCACACAGGAAGAGATGGTGAGGTGCCACTTCACACGTCACCAGGAGACCCTTTTGTTTAGCAGCTCGAATGATCAGAATCTGACGAACAACGTATGATTTTAGTTGGCTACAAAATCACAGGAACATGTAAAAGAAACCGGATGAAGACTTGACTATGAAGGTAAAAATGGAATGCAGTTGTCAGACCACCACAAATAACAAGGATTCTTACCTCTTCTTTCTTGGCAACATGGCAAATATGAACAGGTCTCTGATACAGCTGCGCTACCATCAAGATTGCCGCCACTGTCTGCTTCTCAGCATGTGCCACAATGGGCAAGTGCTTTGGCCACTTTTCAAAGTGCTGCATGCAAAAAAAATGATACTCAAGATGTGACATAAATTGCATCACCAAAAATAAAATAAATGAAATATTCAAAGGCAAAGGCGTATTTAAAATAAATACAATTTAAACTTAAATGTATGCTTTTACTTTATTTAAAATACAAAATTCACAGTTTAAAACAAAATTATTTAAATTTTAAAATAAAAACTACATGTATTGAAAATAAAAATATATTAAATTAAAATGAAACTGTTGTCAAACATGTTTCCTCAGCCTCCTCAGGTCTTCTTACCTCCATCCACAGAGAAACATTGTCCATTTTTAAAGTGGAGTATGTGTCATTCAAGTACATCTTCAGACCAGCAGTAGAGCTTGCAATGGACGGAAGTAGAGTAGCGTTGTCAGAAGCCGCCCCCACGAAAAGAGCATAATCACAGCGGCAACCAGCCTTGGCAAGCTTGACGTATTCAAGACAGAAAAATAGTCCATAAACAACTTCCCCATTTGTTTTCATGTTAATAACCAACCAAATCTGTAATTTGTTGACGTTACCTTCTGTGCAACAGTCAAGGTGCTGGGGTCAATGATCGCAGGGTTAGTGTTGGGCATGGCGCACACCATGGTGACTCCTCCAGCCAGGGCGGCAGCTGTGCCAGAAGAGAAGTCCTCTTTATGGGTGGCACCAGGCTCCCGCAGATGCACATGGACATCGATCAAACCTTTCAACATAGAAGTAAGAATGGCATCAACCATCACAATTAGCCATCTTAATTTATTCGTTTTGACAAATTAAAACAATAACATCTGAAAAAACACAGCCATACTCACCAGGTAAACGGATGAGTTTCTGTGAAGTCATGCTGTCTACATGAGTCTTTACATGAGGAGCCCGACCAATTTGCCCCAGTGCCTGCCAACCCCACATATATTTCAATTATTAGGGATACGACAGCATGTAGTTGACTTCAAAGCAAATAAAACGTTTAATTCTGTGGGGTCGTCAGCAGTATGAGTGTCACTGCTCACCTGAACAAACAGCTTGGTGCATTTGATGTCAGTGATGAGTGGTACAGAGTAGTCGATGGCCATTCGACGAGTGCGGTAACCTTTGGTCACAAAGGACGACAAGCGTCTTCCACCAGAGTTCCTCATAGACAGATTAATGACCAAGTCAAAATGGTTCTCCTCTAAATAGTCCATGATGTTCCTCTGTTTGTCCTTATTATTGCAGTCACTCTCTTCAAATGGCCAGTCCACTGCCATCACCTGATCAGAGACAGACAAACAAATGTAATAGGCTAGTAGCAACATTTTGCCAGCTCAAACACTTTAAAAAGTTAAGCACTAGACATTTTAAGTAATGGTGTGTTGTGTTATTCCACGGTACCTTAATTCCATGTTCGGTGTAATAGTCAGCGGTGCCTACACTGGCATACAAGTTATAACCCAAACTCTCCAAAGTCTGGACTGTGGGCAGAAGCTCACTTTTATTCTGAAAGAATTTAAAATGAATACATTTTTTCCATTACAATACATTCTCTAAAGAAAGTGAGAGTGCATATGCAAAACGTGCACCACTATAATACAGCTATAATACATATGTTCCAAGTGGTTTTAAATATGCAGTTGCCAAGGTGATCTGGGAGGTTGCTAGAGCATCGCTATGTGATTTGTTGGAAGCCCAACTGATTAAAGGGATGGTATCCCCAAAAAGTTTAATTTGGTTATAACTTACGAACCCTTAAATTGTTCCAAACCTAAATGCGTTTCTTCTTTTGAACACAAAAGAACATATTTTAAATAACCATTGACTTCCATTATCAATGGCTATATCAACTGTCTGGTGGTAACTGACACTCTTTAAAATATCTTCTGTGTTCAACAGAACAAAAACTCTATATTATAATAACACAATACAGGTTTGGATCAACATGAGAGAGAGTTGTTACATTACAGGTGCAGGTCAGGCTACGCGTACTACACAGCCTACGACATAGCTATGGTGTAGGTTCAAGGCAGAAGTATAAATTTGCCTTAATAGTGATGCTTGCCATAGCATAATAATAATACAAACCACAGCTTTCAGTAATGTGAAGTAGATTATGAAAATTTATTAGAGAGAATAACTCTAGAGTATCATGGCTTCGTTTAACTCCAGTTTTAGACATGAACTCAAAACTTCCCCAAGCCCTTCCCCTCGGGTGAATCCTTAACCACCATTTTTAAGTGCATTCAACTTCCAAGTAGGCAAGGGGAAGTTTATTTGGACAGATTATTTAGACCCATGACCCCTCAATTTTGATCAAGTGAGCGAGTCTACTCAATATGTACACTTCAGGCAGATCCACGGACCACATTGCAACACGATTGGGTTGTTGGCAAGAATTAAAAAAAATAACACGAGCATACAGGCCAATATAATGGTGCAAAAAAACAAACTTGTAAGGAAAACAAAACAAACTAAAAATAAATCAGCTCCATAGCCGATTCCAAGAGGTTCAATTTAAAAACCAATTCAAAGCGTTCCGCGAGAAGTGGGCACTGAAAGTGCATACATGCAAGTGAACGACGCGGAAGGAAACGACAGGAAAGGTAGAGAGGGAAAGACAAAAAGTGGACTTATATGCAACCAAACTCAAGTGAATCAACATATGCGGTCAAGTAACTCATTACCTTGTAACTACCAATAGAGAGGAGAATATTCTTTTTAGGGATTTTGAAGCCGGTGCTGAGCATGGCTTTTAGATAGGCCTCATATCGGTTCTCCCCAAAGCAGGCCACTTCTCCAGTGCTGGTCATTTCAACACCTAAAACCACATCTGCTCCAGCCAGCCGTGAGAAGGAGAACTGAGGAACCTGAGGGCCACACACAGATTAAGCTTATGTAGATCTTCGAAAACACTGTTGACTCTTGGTGTCTGGGATAGTTCAGTTCCAAGTATTCCCTTCAAAAACAGACATTGTGAAGCTCATTACCTTAACTCCCACAATGCCAGTCCCTTTCATGAGCCCAACAGCCTCAACTTCCTCTCCCAAAATGACTCTTGTTGCTAGGGCAACAAGATCGACACCAAGTGTTTTGGATACAAAAGGAAAGGAGCGTGAAACTCGCACATTGCATTCTATCACCTTCAGCTGATCATCCTGTTGACAAACATGCCATTTAGATTCAGCAGCAAAGATTTTGAAACTTACTCTTCCTAGCTATTCAAAATAAATAAATTACAATTAATTACCTTGGCAATGAGCTGCAGGTTGAAGGGGCCGGTGACCTGAAGCTCCAGGCCGATAGCGTGAACGATCATCTTAATGCGCTCCATGGTTTTCTGGTTGATGTCCTGAGGGGGAGTCACCAGTGTGGCATCTCCAGAATGCACCCCTGCGTTCTCCACATGCTCAGACACAGCTATGGCAATAACCACTCCATCACAGGCCACGGCATCCACATCTATTTCCTGATGGTTATAAATCATCACAAAATTAAGTGCACAAAGCTTTCTACACAACAGCTTACACAGCAAAACCACTAGAGTACTACAGAAAGCCAAGCTAATTCAAAGCTTACAACTAAGGATCTGTGTTATTGTTAAATATTTACTGTACAAAAATATATAATTTTAGTTATTTAAACACAAATAGTAATTTATTGAAAAAGTGGAAATAAAATAAAATTAACAAAACAAGTACTACAATTAATAAAAATAAATGCTAAATAGAAATACATAAAAAAAATGACTGAAACCAAAACTAGAATAAACTGAAGATATAAAAATAAAAGATAATTTAATTATGAATAAATACTACAGTGGTATGTAAATAATAGTAGAATAACACTACTCTTAGGATGCATAGATATTAAAATTATGGCCAATTATTTTTATTTTTTGGTTGATAACCGATAAATGGCTGTTGTACTTTTTTTTAGACCAACTAGTATAGAATTTGAATAATTTTAAAAGCAAAAAAGTGAATTTGGGCATTACAACATTAGCCTCAAAATTAATATCCACTGTTAAAAACAGTATGGTATCGATATATCGTGAATTCCTAATTACACAGTCATATGAGAAGTACAATCTTTCACTTCCATTCCCAAATTGAGCAACTAGAAAAGTAAAGAGACTTTTGGCATGGAATACAGTTATTGTACAAGATTTACAGCTCCGGTGATGGCAGTGGTGAAAAACCTGTTCAAACAGGCAATGTTTCATTTTGCACCAAATGACTGTATAACCCAGTAATTAACTCCTGCCTCTCCCAAATTTTCCAGAGAACTGAAAGTGCCTCAAAAAGTCTATAAAACATCTCCCTCTTTGTGTTGACTAACCTTGGCTTCCTGGATGAATTTGGAGATAACGACAGGGTGTTCCTTTGACACGGCAACAGCATTGGTCAGGAACATTTCCAGTTCACTATCAGAGTACGCAACGTTCATAGCAGCGCCGCTGAGAACATATGACGGCCTCACCAAACAGGGGTAACCCACTGTCTTGCAGAAACCTACAGCAGACTACAAAAGGAATGTCAAGGGGACATTTGAAGTTACAAGCAATTACAAAAGAACTTCCTTGAAGTTGAATGTATTCTTTTTATAATGTACCTCAATATCAGAGAGCTCTTTCCATCGGGGCTGGCTGATTCCTATTGTGTCCAGCATCCTGGAGAATTTGAAGCGGTTCTCTGCAGAGTCAATAAACTCCGGTGAGGTGCCCAGGATCCTGCACTGCTGTCTATGGAGGGACATGGCGATGTTGTTGGGCAGCTGTCCACCCATGGATAGAATAACTCCCTCTGGGTTCTCCATCTCATATATGTCCATCACCACCTGTGATTAAAAGCATAATCTTAATGATCCTAAAACAGCACTAATCATTCACAAATGCTACTTTACACACATTATAAAGTACAGTATAACAGAAGGATTATCAATTTGAGATTTGCAAAAGATTGCATTAATTTAAAATATGACTGAAAATGAATCTAAATGAGTTAGGAAAATTAAGATTCCAAAGTAAAATCTCTAATATCAGCAGTTAAATGATAGGGAAACAATATATTGTGCATCCCTAATTCTAAGGAGATTTAAAGTATATATTTCAGCTATCAGTACAACTTCTGCTGATAAACAAGATCCACATAAATCACTTACCTCAAAGGAGATCTCATCAAAATACAGTCTGTCGCACATATCATAATCTGTGCTGACAGTTTCTGGGTTGTAGTTCACCATAATTGTTTTGTATCCCATCTGTGAAATAGATTAGTTCACAAACACACTGAAATTTGACAAATTTATGATATTATATTTCCCGCTTTAATTCAAGCCACATAAAGGCACATTTTATGCTTAATAGAGGTGGGATTCACCTTCCTCAGCTCCATAATACACCCAACGGCACACCAATCAAACTCCACGCTGCTTCCGATGCGGTAAACCCCAGAGCCGATCACCATGACATGGGGCTGCTCGAAGACCACGTCGCTTTCTGAGCCGTTATAGGTCAGGTACAGATAGTTGGTGTGGGCGGGCCACTCGGCAGCCACTGTGTCAATCTGTTTGACCACCGGAAGAATCTTCCAGTCTTGCCTCATCTTCCTCACAGCCAGCTCAGTGCTGCAGTGGGGGGAAAGAGGTACAAATTTCTGGTACAAACAAGTCTTGAAACAGTTTGATTTTGCAAACGAAAAGCATTTACATCTGTGAGATATTGCATGAGCACTTTTCCTAGGTACCTTTGCACAGCTTGGGCAATCTGTTTGTCCGAGAAGCCCAGCTGCTTGGCTTTCCTCATGACCTCAGGTGGCATTGCGCTCTCATCCTGATTATACATCTCCAGAAGCTTCTCGTGGTCTGCAATGTTCTTCATTTTATGCAGAAACCAGTGGTCTATCTTGGTCAACTCATAAAGCCGTTCAACTGTGTAGCCGGCACGCAGCGCAGCTGCCAGAACAAAGATGCGCTTGTCTGTGGGTGTCTGCAACTCCTGAGATACAAGACACAATATTTCAGAGAGCGTTTTGTTTTCATGCATCATTATTTCAGACATGGGAGTGAGATGGAGGATCTGTATCTTCAGTACAAACCTCTTCAGACACTGGTTTGATTGTGTGATCGAACCCAACGCAGTTCTCATCCACCATTCTCAAAGCTTTCTGGAAGGCCTCTTCAAAGCTGCGGCCGCTGGCCATCACTTCTCCTAAGATGGAAGAGAGTGCTGAATGAGCTCACAACATACCATTTTGTCAATTAAAACTTTTAAAGAATTCAAACTACAATTAAAAAAAAAAAAAAAAAAGATAAAATGGCCCTCTTACAATAACAAAAAACCTAAGGTTTAACACCAAATGAACAATAAGGCTTTGAATAGTATGCTAACATAACAGGCCAAGCTTATATAAACAAATAAATCAATGTTCTTATAAATAAAATAAAAAAACATTGGTTAAAAAAATATTGCAAAATTGGTAACCCCAACCAAACTTGAAAAATATTTATTTGAGAGATATTTTAGTATTTATAAAATATTATAGTTTTATTAATATTTAATATTAGTATTTTTTCACTTTATATTTATATATTTTATTTATTATATTATATTATATTATATATATATATATATATATATATATATATATATATATATATATATATATTTAGGGGTTCAAGCACGAAGTGCTGAAACCCTATTGTAATTGTATTGATTTTTATTATTAGGGGTTCAAGCACGAAGTGCTGAAACCCTATTGTAATTGTATTGATTTTTATTATTATTATTATTATTATTCTCCCCTAAAACGCATCGTGCAGCCCAAACCGTAAGGGCTAGAGCTCTGAAACTTTGTCAGATGGTAGTACAAAAATCGAGGAGAGGTTATCAAATTATGAGCCCGAATGGCCCATAGGTGGCGCTATAACAACCAATTGCGCGAAACTGCTCATAACTCCTAGACCGTAAGTCGTACACTCAAGTGTCTTATATCATTGGAAAGCTGGTCACCTGACGAAAAAAACGTATATCTCCGATTTCATTTCCGGTATGGAAATTTTTCCGCCATTTTGAATTTTGTTGAAAAACTACTTTTGCGAACTAGTCCCTGGTTTTTTGCCCGATCGGAACCAAACCAGTGCAGGAATGTTCTCTGGAGTCTGAAGATCAATAATTATCAAAAAAAATGTTGAAAAAGTCTCTTTGCGGTTGCTAGGGGGCGCAAAATAAATGTTGTGGGAGGAGCCTATTTTACTAAAATGGCTATAACTCGAGAAGTAAATGAGATATCCTCAACAAACTCGGTACACCTATGTATAAGTTCAATTTGAGGTCACAGTAAAAAAATCGCCACGATGGAACACTAGGTGGCGCTATAAAACGAATAAAACTAAAAAAGGGCTCTGACCAGCTGACCGTTAGTCCGATTGACTTGAAAATTGGTATGCAGTGTCTTTGTCCAAGGCCCCATGTATGTGTATGAGGACATTGGTGTATCTCAAAAAACATGGCCGCCATCGGCCAATGAAGTTTGAGCACCTATAAAACAAGGTTAACGAAGGCCGATCGGAACGAAACTCGTTGGGCATGTTTGACTCATGCCCCTAGAGGTCTGTAAGAATTTTGAAAGAAATCGGCCACTAGTTGGCGCTAACGAGTTTTATGGCTCTGTTATCACGTGGTGTTGCACACACCCCCACAATATGTATATCAATTGATAGATCTCCTCATGCTGAACAACTTTGCCTCAAGAACCATTGCTGTCAATCAAATCGTTCATTAAATATTCACGAATATGTTAAAAACGTACTTTTGCGAACTAGTCCCTGGTTTTTTGCCCGATCGGAACCAGACCAGTCTGGGACAATTCTTTGGACTCTCTAGATCAATAATTATCAAAAAAAGTTGAACTTTGTCATTTGTTTTGCTATAACAGGGTCATTTAAAAAAGGGGCATGACAAAATGCACCAAAAGCCTATAAATCCTAAAGGAAAAGTCAGAACTTCACAAAAATTGATGAGCATATGTGTCATAACGTATTCAACAAGCATGCAAAGTTTCATGGAGATCGGACTATAGGTGGCGCTATAATTGTTAAAAATATTAAAAACAATGTATACCCTATAGTAAATTGCCATTATTGAAACTTAAAACTTAATGTCTTTTGATGCTTTTGTGCTTAAAGGCCTTAAAGGCCTAAACTGCTTGAACCCCGCTAAATGCTGCTTGCAGCTTTAATTATTATTATTATTATTATTCTGCCGTAAAACGCATCGTGCAGACCAAACCGTAAGGGCTAGAGCTCTGAAACTTTGTCAGATGGTAGTACAAAAATCGAGGAGAGGTTATCAAATTATGAGCCCGAATGGCCCATAGGTGGCGCTATAACAACCAATTGCGCGAAACTGCTCATAACTCCTAGACCGTAAGTCGTACACTCAAGTGTCTTATATCATTGGAAAGCTATTCACCTGACGAAAAAAACGTATATCTCCGATTTCATTTCCGGTATGCAAATTTTCCCGCCATTTTGAATTTTGTCGAAAAACTACTTTTGCAAACTAGTCCCTGGTTTTTTACCCGATCGGAACCAAACAAGTGCATACATGTTCTATGGAGTCTGAAGATCAATAATTATCAACAAAATGTTGAAATTTTTATTCAGGGTCGCTAGGGGGCGCAAAATAAACGTTGTGGGAGGAGCCTATTTTACTAATATGGCTATAACTCGAGAAGTAAATGAGATATCTTCACCAAACTCAGTACACATGTTTAGGAGTTCAATTTGAGGTAACAGTAAAAAAATTGCGACGATTGAACACTAGGTGGCGCTATAACACGAAAAAAACATAAAAAGGGCTATAGCCATGTGACCATTCGTCCAATTGACTTGAAAATTGGTATGCAGTGTCTTGGTTCAAGGGCCCACGTATGTGTATGAGGACATTGGAGTATCTCGAAAAACATGGCCGCCATCGGCCAATGAAGTTTGAGCACCTATGAGACAAGGTTAACGGAGGCTGATCGGAACGAAACTCGATGGGCATGTTTGACTCATGGCCCTAGAGGTCTGTAAGAATTTTGAAAGAAATCGGCCACTAGTTGGCGCTAACGAGATTTTTGGCTCTGTAATCATGTGGTGTTGCTCACATCCCCACGAAATGCAATTGCATTTGATAGATCTCCTCATGACAAACAACTTTGCCTCCAGAACCATTGCTGTCAATCAAATTGTTCGTTAAATATTCACGAATATGTTAAAAACCTATTTTTGCGAACTAGTCCCTGGTTTTTTGCCCGATCGGAACCAGACCAGTCTAGGACAATTCTTTGGACTCTCTAGATCAATAATTATCAAAAAAATGTTGAACTTTGTTATTTGTTTTGCTATAACAGGGTCATTTACAAAAGGGGGCATGACAAAATGCACCCAAAAGCCTATAAATCCTAAAGGAAAAGTCAGAACTTCACAAAAATTGATGAGCACATGTGTCATAACTTATTCAACAAGCATGCAAAGTTTCATGGAGATCGGACTATAGGTGGCGCTATAACTGTTAAAGATGTTAAAAACAATGTATTCCCTATGGTAAATTGCCATTATTGAAACTTAAACCTTAATGTCTTTTGATGCTTTTGTGCTTAAAGGCCTTAACGGCCTAAACTGCTTGAACCCCGCTAAATGCTGCTTGCAGCTTTAATATTTTTTATATTTACTATATATATATATTTTTTTTTTTAATAATATTTTTGTTACAGTTTTCAATCTAATTTTAGTTGTATTATGTGCTGTTGTCATATAATTATTTGTCATTTTAGCACTTGGGCAACAGTTCTAATTTATGTATTAGAAAAAAAAAGTTTTCTATCTAGCATCTTTTATTACAGCTTTATTGAAATGAACAAAAACTAATTTTAATAGTTTGTTAACAAGAACACTATATTGAGAATTATAATATACAGATCTCAGCTGCCATTTATTTCCATGTATGATGCTCACCAACGCTCTTCATGGAACTGCCAATTGTAGTGCTGACTCTAGAGAACTTGCTCAAATCCCAACGAGGAACCTTCACTACACAGTAATCCAGACTAGGCTCAAAGTTTGCTGTAGTGGAATTAGTCACCGAATTCCTGGAAAACAGTCACTTTTAAGCAACTTTAAAAATAACAATACTCAAATGTACAATTACATTTAGTTTAATAGCTCATTTTAAGGAAAGAACTCACTTGAGCACAGGCAGAGGGATTCCCAAGCCGAGTTTAGCGGCCACGTAGGCCAGAGGGTAACCGGTGGCCTTACTGGCCAATGCAGAGCTTCGTGAGAGACGAGCGTTGACTTCAATGATGTAGTACTGCCAAGACAAGTATGAGATTTTGGGTTGACCACAACTTCCTAAAATCCATTATTCCTGGATGATGTAACTTGTAAGTGACTGAATTACCTGCTCGGATTCAGGATTTAGGGCATACTGAATGTTGCACTCTCCCACAATGCCCAAGTGGCGAACAACTTTGATGGCCGTGTTTCTCAGCATATTATATTCATAGTCGTTCAGTGTCTGACTAGGAGCCACCACTATTGACTCCCCGGTGTGAATTCCTAGAGGATCGACATTCTCCATGTTGCATACCTAAATGAAAAGATATCAATTTAGAAAAGAAAACAAGGGACCATATATACTGGTAAAATGTGAAGGCATTGTAAATCATTTTGGATTCAAGTAAAAGTCTAAATGTCAGAATAAAAGGGAAACCACAGCTCTAGGAGCTTCGTACCGTAACACAATTGTCATAGGCGTCCCGCACCACTTCATACTCAATTTCCTTCCAGCCTTTAAGCGATTTGTCAACCAGGACTTGTGATGTGTGAGCAAAGGCCTGGGTAACTAACGTGATCATTTCATCTCTATTATTGGCAAAGCCTGAACCCAGTCCACCCAGGGCAAACGCAGAACGGACCAGGACAGGATAGGAGAGTCTTTCAGCAGCAGCCACTGCCTGTCGGAAACACAAAAAAAGTTAGACAAGCATGCAATAAGAAAATTTTACTAACCATTTTAAAACTACTAAAAGCACAATATGGATATAATATAATTATGTATTTAAAATTTATTGTCAAATGACAATTTTCTAAAAAAATAATAATAATAATAATAATTGGAAGACATATAAACATTTGTATATAAACATTTAAAACAACTTATATATATATATATATATATATATCCTTAGTGCCTTAGTAAAAAGAAAAAGAAAAGCAAATTATTTAGTATTGGTAAAAGTATGTTGCCTTCAATAATACCTTATTTCCTAAAGCACAAATTGGTCTCTATACATGAAAATATTTTATAAGGCTTTGTATTTTAGGAAGGTGGTCTCTTGCAAATGAATCATCATAACTGGAAGTCCTAGAGTATAAAAACATTATGAGATTCCCTAATTTTCAGTAGATTAATGAGCCAACCTGTTCAACAGACATGGCCGCTTCACTGGGGGCAACATGCTCATTGATTTCCTCCATCTTCTCCACAAAGATCTTCCTGTCTTCAGTCATCTCTATGGAGGCTACTTGGGTTCCAAGCACACGCACTTTGTATTGTTCCAGCACTCCTTGCTTGGTGAGCTCCACACCACAGTTCAAAGCCGTCTGACCTCCGAATGTGAGCAACACTCCATCTGGACGCTCGTTTTTTATCACCTATTTTAGGGGTAGAAGGATGGATGCATTTTTTAAGCTCTTAAGTCAAACCTAAACTTTGTGTTAAAAGCATCATTTCAGTTTTCAAAATCGGTCATGAAAAGAATGCCTAGAGAGTTAATCAGGGATGGACAGCTCTCTCCTACCTGCGTGACATATTCTGGTGTGATCGGGAGGAAGTAGACTTTGTCTGCCAGGCCCTTTGAGGTTTGTACTGTGGCAATGTTTGGGTTTATAAGAATGGTTTGGATGTTTTCCTCTTTTAGAGCTTTTATAGCCTGAAAAAAAAAGCAAATTAATGAAGGAAACTGAGAAAACAATAATAAACAGCTGGCTTGTGAGATGCACTCCTTAATTTGCAATCCACACAGTCTCAAGGTTTTTTTTTGTTTAATACTCACTTGAGACCCAGAATAGTCAAACTCTCCAGCCTGTCCAATGGAAAGCCCTCCTGAACCAAGAACCAGAACTTTACGAGGCCGAACAAACGCTTCCGGGTCAGGAGATCCAGGGTAAGTGAGGTGCTCTGTTAGCCTTTGCTTAACTGTGTAAAATATTAGTTTGAGTAATTATAGAGTAATTTGTCTATATCTACTATAGGAAAATTTGCAGAAGTATCAAACAAGTGTGCAAACAACCCTACAATAATCATGATAGCTTTACAGGCATACATCATAACAGATCACCTGATTTTCCAGCTTTGCCATCTTTTGCATCTTTGACTGCATCCAGAAACACATCAAAGAGACTAATAAGGTCTGTGGGACCCGCCATGTGTTCAGGATGGAACTGGACACTGAAAATTATATCAAGAATAGATATAAATATATCACCTTTATACATGAATACAGTAAAATGGGTAATGTAAATATAAACAAACAATGCACACAAATGAGAAATGAACGCAAACCTGAAGAGTGGTTTGTGGTTATGAACAATTCCCTCACTGGTTTGGTCATTGGCGTTGGTGAAGAGCACATCCCAGTCTTCTGGGAGAGTTTGGGGATCCACAGCAAACCCATGATTCTGAGACGTGATGAAACAGCGATTTGTTCCTTTATGGATGCAGGGCTGGTTATGGCCACGATTACCATACCTTAAATACATAGGGACCATGAACGAAGTTGTAGCTTTTAAGATTCACAATAAGAAGATGCATTACTTGACAGACATAAACCATCTCTGAATGAGCCTGCGGACAATCCGCTTTTGGAAAAGGGCATGAAAGAATGCCAGAGACTGGCATCACAGCCTTGAGCACATGCAAACAAAACAACTATCCCAGGACTCTTAGAAAAACAATGACGCTTATCCCAGGAGTAACGCAGTGGCCCCCGTCTAGACGGCTGAGCTCAGCATAAACTAGATTTCACACCATGTTGGTTTTTCATGAAAATTGGAATGGCATGGAAAAGGCCAAAGAACCAGTCTTTTGTTCCTCTGCAAACACTACAATCCATAGCGTGATGCTGTCTGGTTCAGTTAAACTGCAAAAATCCTATATTTTTTTCTATAACCATCTTTGGTGAACTACAATAAGTTTGAATTTTTATAAAATTTCCCTGTAGATGGAAGTGTTAAAACGGCATTAAAATGCACTTAAATAATTATATTACTTTAATACATGCAAGGATAAAATGTCTATTAATGAGATAACATTACATTTTTTAGCCATTATTCACACTCATGTCATTACAAAACTGCATGACTTTCTTTCATCAGTGGAACATGAAGATTTTTTTTTGTCCATACAATGGAAAGTCAAATGGGCTCCAATGTTGTTTGGTTTCCAATGTTCTTCAAAATATTGTTCCAAAGAATAACAATGCATGCAGGTTTGGAATGATACAAGTGAGTAAATAACAGAATTTTAGTTGAGTGAACTATCCCTTTAATAAGAAACGTGCATTAATAGCGGAAAGTGAAAAAAGATTAATGGATTGCTTACTTCATTTTATACGTTTTTGCACCAATGACCAAAGACAGCAGCTGATGGCCCAGACAAATCCCAAAGACAGGTTTGGGACTCTCCACACATACCACCTTCCGTATGTTCTCTACAGTCTCCTTACAGTACTCTGGATTGCCAGGGCCATTGCTGATGAACAACCCATCAAAGTCTAGAGAGAAACAGAAGCAATACCAAAGTGATAACATTTTCATTCTCCTAAAATAGCAGACGACACTATCGTTAAAATGTATATAACAAAACACATCTTTCCTAGGGCTGTGCAAGTAATCGCAATTGATTTTTATTTTGCCTTCCAACAATTATGAAAAAGATAATCGAGATAAAGCGACTATTGTGCTGCTGCCACATTCAGCTGTGCGTAAAAATAGTATAAATAGAATAGTAAAAAGCAGTATACAGTTGTTCAACTTCGGAACGTTACTGATATTAAACCGTGTCATGAAAAGCACATGAAGCCGCCTAAATGGTCAAATAGCATACATACCAAAATGTGATTTTAGTAAATATCCTCGAAAACAGTCAGTTATGTCTTAAGTAAATGTAAACAGTTGAGAAAGAAACTGCATGTGTAACAGTATCCATGGATTCACACTTAAAGTGACAACAGCCTAATATTACTGCTTCAGTCTGTCTCAATGTTAATCAAACAACAAAAGGCAAAGATAAAATCACTCATTGGTCTTGAATGAATAACTTTTAAAACTTTAACAAAGATCTATATTTAATGTATTTAGTGAAGACTTTGCAGTGTTATATTCCATTTGATTAATTTATTCAGTTTCTGTATTAGTTTCTTTGTTTTTATTGTATTTCTGACTGTTTACTTGTCTTCTGTAACAAGGATCTTGTACTTCGCTACATTAGTAGCATAAGTTGACTATTGGTCATTTTACTGATATATAACATTACTCATATAATGGATTAAGACTTTGATCATATCGCCCAACAATAATCATGTTAAATTGTATTTCAACATATCAATGTGGAGAACAGCACCATGGCTCACCATTGCAGTCCAGATGATGATCCCAGGGGACAACGGTGACCCGGGCACCTCTCTGGCACAA